TACTCCGTCGAAAATCTTTCACCGAACGCTGCATTTCGGGTTTTATTAGGGGAGACTAGGGTCTTGAGTCAAGCTTGGACAGAGAATGTCAAATGCGTTTATTAATCCCAATTTAGATCTTACACCCCGACTCGATATGATGCCAAACTCGATAATACTAACAATGAAATGACAACTTGCAAATACCGAGACCAAGCTATGTCGGAATCTAATCAACGACACAACTAATATGCGGTATTACCATTCAAGGTACGTCATAATCTAATCAATGACGTAATTTGGGAGAATATGACTGGAATCTAATCAACAGCTATATTCCAAGCTTAACTCCGGAATTTAATTGACGACGCTGAACTAATGGCACAACATTGGAATTTAATCAACAATGTTGAACCTGATAAAGACTCTTGCCGGAATTGAATCTACGACGCAGAATCTGAAAATTACAGCTAAAACTACTCCTAATGTGCTAAAAGTACAGCTAGATAAAAGATATGTTGTGTTGTTTGCGAAAAAGGGTCCCTTTTACGTTGGAAATCCTTGAGTATTTATAGAGCAGCTTGATAACTGTTGACCGAACACTTCTCCTTTAAAATCGTTTTCCACTTCCGTACGTTTCGCGCTTTAACTGTTTCCAAACTTGTCGACATTGCTTACGCTCCTTGGTCATCACGTAATAGCTAATTTTCTTCCACGTGTCTCTTTATTTCTTGTTATTCTTTACCTTCCTTGATCTTCACGCCCACGGTCATATCTTTACCTTTTGACACGTGTAAATGAATTTTTCACCACGTATTACCATATGATTCCGTGCAAAACTCGTGATTTTGAATTTTGTCGACGTCACGTGCAAAGCTCGTGATCTTGGATTCGTCGACGTCACGTGCAAAGCTCGTGATCTTGAACTCATCAATGTCACGTGCAAGGCTCGTGATTTTAAACTTGTCGACACCTCTATGATGTGTCCTGTCGATAATTACCTTAGGTCTTCTCAATGTTTCTGGGCCTGACTTGCGGTCTTTTTTAGATTTTCGCCATGTGGGCCGTACTTTACATCTTCTGTAACTTGTGAACGGCCCACTCCCACCAGGGGTAATTTTGTGTGTCAACAATGATACATATGAGCCTATGAGTAACTGAATCACAAGAATGAGTTGGGGACTACTAATTGCGTGAATTCGTGGGTTTGAACTAGGAATGCCGGTGTGTGGCGAGGCGAGGTTACTCCTTATAGAAGAAGCACCCCGTGACTTTAGTTCTCTGACCAAGATAAAATTATTGGGGGAAAAACAGACAAATTTGTCGTATTGATGCGAGAACGTCATGATCGTGAATTCATGATACACTCGAATCAGAAAGGTTAGCCGGGTTAATTGAATGGTCCAAACTTTACACATGTGATTTCCAATTGGAATAAAGCTCGGCATATATATCTCTAAGATAAAATGCTCATCACGTTCGTGTCATACTCACGACAGGATCTGAGAATTCAGGGCCCATTTGGTTTAACTTTGCAAATGAGTTTCGGGGGAATGTAAATACCTTTAGGTTAAAACTTATTGAGAAAATGCAAATGACATTTGGTAAAAAATCTTTTGTGAAGCTACTTTGGCCCAAATAGTGTTTAACAAGTTTTTTTTAACAAATGGCTTTGGAAATTTTCTTTTTTTATTAAAAAAAAAGGTTATCCTACCTTTCGCCGGAGCCGACGAAGGGCTACAGCTGCCGGTGAGCCAGATCTGGCACTGGCGGCCATTGCTCGAGGTCGGGCGACCGCCGGCGAGCCAGATCTGGCGCCAGTAACCGTCGCCTGAGGTTGGGGTTACCCCAGGCGAGGTCGCGCGACTCCAGGCGGCGGCGCCTGGGGTCGCCGAGGACGGCCATCGCTTGGCGAGCCAAGGATGCGCGATGTCGAGGATGCGCGATGCGAGGTCGCACGACCGTGGTTGGCCAGATCTGGGTCGCTCGACCCATTGCAGCTCCGGCGAAGGCAGCTTCAGGAAGAAGATAATTTTTTAGGGCAAAAGTGGAACACATAATTATCAGTGAGGATAATATTGGAAAGAAGAAAAAAGTCATTAAATCGCTTCTGTAGCATTTCGAGAGTGCCGAAAGCCCAAAGCAGGTCCCTACCAGCTTTGGGCTTTCGGCATTTTAAATGCTAGCATTTGTCCAATGGAGTCCCAAAAGCTAAACCAAAAACCTCATATTTCTTCCAAGGGCCTTTAGAGGCTCAAATCTCAACCAAACACCCCTAGTCTGATTTGACGCACCAGACCGAGTTAAAGCTATCAATCACAGCATCCCAAAAAATCTTACGGATTTTACTTTAGTTAAAGCTATCAATCACAGCATCCCAAAAAAGGGAAAATTCCAATTAAGGACCCCAAGTGGGGTCAAATTCTCAAAAAGTGGTCCAAAGTGAATATTGTGTAATAAGGGCAGATCGAAGCTCAAAAAGACCAAGTGCCCAAAATGTCTCAAATAAGGACCGGGTCCCCTACGGCCAAAATACTGTGGCCGGGCGAAATCTTGTTCAAGACCGGAACAAGAACTTTAATTTTTTATTATTTTCTTTCTTTTTTCCTTTCTGTTTTTGTTCTTTTCCTTTTCCTTTTCTTTTTTTTTTATTTTCTTCGTCCGCCGGCCAAAGCCGGGGCCGGCGGAGGTCGCCGGCCTCAGGGCGAGGCCAGCCCTCGCCGGCGTCGGGCGAGGCCGGCCGCCGGGCGAGGCTCGACCTCGCCGTGCCTGGGCGAGGGCGGCGGCCGGGCGAGGCTCGACCTCGCCGGCCTCAGGCGAGGCCGGCCTCGGCCAGTTGCGCGAGGTCGAGCTCGAGCCGGCTGGCCGGGCGAGGCCGGCCTCGCTGGGATGCTGGGCGAGGTCGAGCCTCGCCGTTGTCGGGCGAGGTCGGCCTCGCCGGTTGCAGGTGCGAGGTCGAGCCTCGCCAGATCCGGCGAGGCTCGACCTCGCCCGACGCCGGCGAGGCTCGACCTCGCCTCGCAACCCGGGCGAGGCCGGCGAGGTCGAGCCTCGCCCGGCGGCCGGCGAGGCCGGCTCGCCCGACAACGGCGAGGCTCGACTCGCCTCGCAACCGGCGAGGCCGGCCTCGCTGACACCGGCGAGGCTCGACTCGCTCGACACCGGCGAGGCTCGACCTCGCTCGCAACCGGGCGAGGCTCGACCTCGCGCAACCGGGCGAGGCCGGCCTCGCCCGACGCTCGGCGAGGTCGAGCCTCGCGCCGGCCACGAGGCCGGCCTCGCCCGACGCCGGCGAGGCGGCCTCGCCCGGCCCTGGGCGAGGGCGACTCGCCCAGCCCCGTGCGAGGCGGCCCCCGCCCGACGCGGCGAGGGCGGCCTCGCCCGAGGCCGGCGACCTCCGCCGGCCCCGGCTATGGCCGGCGGAGGAAGAAAATAAAAAAAAAAAAGGAAAAGGAAAAGGAAAAGGAAAAGGAAAAGAGCAAAAACAGAAAAGGAAAAAAGAAAGAAAATAATAAAAAAGTTAAAAGTTCACTGTTCCGGTCAAGGTGACCAGTAACTTTCTCGCCGGCCGGGGACCCAGGTCCTTATTTGAGACATTTTGGGCACTTCGGGTCCTTATTTGAGACTGATTGAGCACTTCAGGCCCTTATTTGACACAATGTTCACTTTGGACCCCTTTTTGAGAATTTGACCCCACTTGGGGTCCTTAATTGGAATTTTCCCTCCCAAAAAATGTTACGGATTTTACTTTAGTGACATGCTTTCAGAGCCGCCCAAGAGGTTGTGCATTATTGTATGGTGTTGGTTTAGGTTGAAATGAACCCGAGCCGAAGAGGATTGGAGACACGATGATGTGATTGAAAATGACATTTTAAGCATCGTACTAAATTTTCATCACGTTAGTGCGCACTCACCTTGTTTAACTACTTTTGCTATTGCCCATTCTGAGAAGATAAAACGGAACGGGGAAATCACAAGTGGAATGACCAAGGCGCGATTACAGCACAGAAGCACGAGCGGAAAATGCTATTAGGATGAAAGGGCGGAGTTAATCTTAAACAATGCCATAAAGAAGAGAATGTTTTCTTAACTATTAGTTATGTAACTCGAGAGAATTCTAGGCGCACCAACAGTGCAACATTTCCGTCCATTCAAATCAATCATTAGTTATCGAATTCTACGTGTAATGATTAGTTTGGATAATGGCTATCAAATTATGCGTAAATTTCCTTGTAAATTTCCTTATGCAGTGAAAAGGACCTGTTAAAGGTGCAAGAATCAGCTATCGCCGGTCTTGGCATGGTCAGCACATGAAGACCAACAAGACATCTAGTATGAACGGCATGTAGCCACCACCTGAGAAAATCTCGAGGGAGACAAGTGACATGATACTAACCTGATCAATAAACTTCGTGAAACTAAGTGAGCAAGTTTAGATCGTAACAAAACTCGGCAACAGAAATCGGAAAAACCTGAGCAAGCTGCGAGAACCGAAAGTACATGAAGAGTGAGCTGATGACTGCTAGATTACAGGTCACTGATGCAATTTTTAGACTCAACCCATTACTCTTCCCTAATTTGTCTGATTTTCCTTTTTCCTTACAGAATCTCCATTCCCGATATTGTCGCAACTTGAGCCAATCATCCTTGTGACCACAATCTTGTCACCTGAGCTCCTTCCTTAGTTGAAGTGATCTTGGTACAGTTTTGTGCACTAGCCTAAAAGGCATCATGTTCCTCGAATGGGATTAATTTATTAATAGAACAAGCGACCCAGGCCAGTTCTATTCCAGGCCAGTTCCAATAGAAGTGGCTGAAATTCGGAGGAGAAACTCAGAGCTCAAAACATTTCCATGATGTAAACCCCAGGCCACAACTTGACTGATTACCAAGTTTTCTTGATAAAAAAAGGAAATGAATTGACTCAAAACAAAGAGTGAACAGATTTCCATTCCATTTTTCGTACACGGATGTGAAGAGGGAAAAAGAAAAAAAGAAACGATAGATGCAGACAACAATCATAATAGCAATCTGAATCTATCATATCAAAGGTTATCTTACAAACTTATTACAGGTGTGAAGATAAATTTCAATATGATACATATGAGCCTATGATAACCTCTGTAACTGAGTCACAAGAATGAGTTGGGGACTACTAATTGCTAAACCAATCAAGGAGCAAAATTAATCTGACAATCATCCATCCAACCAAAAGCATACAATCAATCACAAGAACAAACGCCTCGAAAATGGAAGAGTAAAGCACCTGCCTTCATAATATGGATGTCACCCGCACGGAATTATCAGCTGATCCAGTCAAGAAAATGGGCAAGGTTGGGTACCAATCCACCGTTGTCACAGAAGCACTGTGCGGGAGAGTTCTCAAACCACTTGCCCGACTACGTGTCTAAACCAAATAGAAAAAATGAGATATGAGCTCACATCATTTCTAAGAAATATACATTGAAACAAATGATCAGAGCACTATCAATCAGAAGTAAAGAAAATATGCAGCTTAAAAGCCCCTATTCATCGCTTCCTACAGCGTTTCTCTGTGTGTGTTAGAGAGAGAGAGAGAGAGAGAGAGAGAGAGAGAGAGAGAGAGAGAGAGAGAGAGAGAGAGAGAGGTTACCTGGTATATGGGCGCTCTTACTGAACCAGAATTTACTAACAATCTCCTTCCATTTGCATCTAGAGCCATTTCATGTCTTAAGTGACTGGAGCTGAAAGCATAACATGATCCACATAATTACGACCGAAATTTTATAAATGACACTCATGCAAGATTAATTGATGCAACAACTATACGTGGCATGAGTTACCATGATGATCATATGTTAAGGACCGTCCCATTCAGTGAGGACAATTCCTCACTCTTATTGGAAATTGAATCAAGAATCCATCCACCCAATGCATAAATAGAATTGAGAAACCAATTTGACATTCCTAGTGACATCAAGAACCATGAAATCTCACATATCAAAGTATATTATGGTTGTTAAGGTAAATATGTGGTCCGCAACCGATACCTCTTTGAATTGATTGACCACAGAACATGACCCTGTTTCTGCAAGCTCCACTCAAGGACCTAAAATGGCAAGACCATCAACTTTTTGATATTTCATACCATGAAAAAACATAAATAGATGTGGGATGGAATGAACTTAATGGATACTCAAGTTCAATGCATCCAAGATATGAATCCACAAATCATAACTAGAGAATGTACTTGCCTTTCCATCTGTACCCAAACTAAATATGCTCGTCTCATCAGCTCCAAAAAGAATGGAGCTTATACCACAATCATGTGCAGGCCACCCAGTAATTTGTAGACCGGCAGACATGTCTATGGCTAGTTAAGGCATTCCCTTCTAACATTTACCAGTCTACAGGCCACATATTGAAGAAACAGAAGATGATGATACTTCAAAACCAACAGAAATGAATTCATGGTAATTTCAAAGCAATATGTCTTCTTCAATGTATCCAAGCTACAACACATAGCAAGGTCCACATAAGCTCATGAAAATTCAGAACTTCCCTTTTCTCCCCCTCGAAGATGTTGGATATGGGGAGGGGGAGGGCAAGATGAGGCTGTCTGGTATGCAAAGACAAATCAATGTGTCTTTGCTTCGAATTCCATTGTCATCACTGCTGTAGAAACTAAAAGGATACCAAACATGTGAATCATTCCATCCGTGGCAGAGGCAGCAAGAATCTTCCCGTTGTGGTTAAAGCACAAAGAAGTAATTGCAGGGGGATCTTCACCAAGAGGAAGGACTGTCTTCAGGAAAACCAGGCAGTTGTCCAGTCACAAAGGGACAATGGATAAATTAGCAACTTCAATCATAGGTTGTTCCAGGAACAAGAAAAACACTTACCATTGCTTTCCATGTCTTCATGTTCCATACAGTTAGTGAAGCAAAAGCCGAGTCATCAATATGACCAGAAACATGCCTACAAAGGAAAAGATACCCATTATCAAGTGCATCTATAAAGAAAACAATCTCCATTGCAAATGCATCAACCTGAAATGGAAGAGATTTCTGAAAAGTTCCAAGAAAATGTTTCATCTGCTAAAGACAGATATGCTATCCCCAGATGAACATGCAGGCACTGTCATACACTAGCTTAGGTTTTGTCATATCTTTAAGTTCTGCTAAGAGAAATACATGGACATTTGCATTAGGCAGCAAGGAGTATGGCTGACTTTTAGCATGCCAAAGACAAAGGACCTCATATGTCTCGGCACTCAACAAGATTCCTTTCGTATCTTCTATTTAAGCCAGTGACACTTCATCCAAAGGATAGTAAAGTCACCTATAGCCTCAAAGTTCACTCACGGAATAGCAACATCAATTGCAGTCAAATTAACGTACTGCATAACCTCCTTTTCCTTTTTGTCTAAGAGTTTAATCCTAGAGCCACCAAAGGTTGCTAACCCACATACGACTAAAATCATTCGCAAGAGAGAGGATCCATGAGATCTAGTATGTGTAGAACCATGTCTGCTATTATAAGAGCAGAATGGAAGCATTTTAAACCAAATAGACTTATACAAAGTTTCCAGAGAAAATGAAAACAACTAAATGGTGGAAAAGCTGCCCAAACTAATCCTCATATGGAGTGCAAAACTTATAATAAATCCATGGCCAACAAAGGAATCAATTTTAAAGATTGCTTTAAACCAAATATACATTAGTGTACGTCGAGGATGTGCTCAGATTGTATATTCGGATGGAGGCTTGAGCACAATTTGGGCAAGGAATGCAATGAACCCACAAAAGGTTACTTCCGGTGTCCATGACCGTAACCATCCGGTGAGACATGTCTTTAATATAAGACTCCACAAAGAACACACCCACCCAGGTTTTCACATGCAGGTTGGCTTGAATGTTGTCTGAGCACGACACGTTCACCTCGCAGCGCTTCATCTTTTCCTCTATTACAGCAACACGGGAGATGGGATCTTCGAAAGCGAACTTGGCACGGTCAAAGTTGGTATGAACAGAGTTATACATTGGCGACTTGACGGAATTACGATGGATCAATTTCCTTACTATTCTCTTCGGCACACTACCTGCACCGATGCTTTTGGTGGCATTGATGCAAGTCACAAGAATGGTCGACATAAAGAGGAGTTCATAAGTTAGCAAAAGGAGAATTTGGTGAAAGGAAGGCATAATGCAGCAGTTGAATATATAGACTGGTGCTTTATGTTGGACTTGAATGATCTCTGCAACTGTTGGCAGATTCCTCCCAATTGATGAGGCCTAAATAGATGAATAAGGAGGGTTAAAGTAGGTGAGTCATGAAAAAGAGAGAGACGGCACTTTTGGAGCTTATCACATTGCTGAAAATCAGGTTACTGATAATTCACATAACAAGAAAAAAGCATGCACAACCAGCCTTCATCTAGTGAAAGTTCCACTGAATTTGCACAAGCATCATTTGGCGGGCAGCTTGTGTGAAAAGCTTAATTCTGAATCCAACACGTCATTTGTCTAGCGGTGATCGGGTAAAAAGTTTTTGTGACTGCATGTACGTAACAGAATTGACAAAAATATGGAGGTAAGAACAGGTCGTAAGCATGTTGGAGAGACATAGAAGAAAAAGAGGACAAGATGGCAGTTTATGCAAGTAACAAAAGGAAACATTAGACCGGAGCCGTCTTTGGGATCTTGTGAATCCATGTAAATGACCTTACATGATTAGTGCTTACTTCCGTTCGTAAAAGGGAGGAAAGTATAGTCAATGACTCAGGTATTCGTTATGAGTGTGGTGGTAAATCTGTGGTGCGTGTAGTTTTGTTATTGGTATTGAGATTACAGTATAGCTGTTCTGTGTTGCTTGATCTGGTCAACAATGGCAATATGAGGTTATGACAAGGAATTTGGATAATTTCGGCCACTTTTAGAGAAAGATTTATTGGGAAATTTTGTTGAATGTTGGTGACGGGTGCGGGTTGCCGCCTCCATCAGCCTACAGGATTGCCCAAGCTGGCTAATGAGGTACTGATTTTTACCGAGCTAGTTGAGGCCACTTTTAAACCAAATATGTAGGAAACAGCGAACAAATTGAGGAAGAGATAAGTGATTCAATGGAGACTGTTCTGGAAGGTAAAGTTCACAAACAGTAAAACTTTTCTCGAGTTTTATGGCCCCACATTACATATTAGTGCAGCCTTTTGTACGGGACATACCGCTTGCCAACAGCTTTATTTAATTCTAGAGATGAGACTGGGGTCCTCTCATTCGTGGAGATCCAGCTCATACACTACTCTTTATTGACTCACTGTAACCATTCTTATCATCATAGTACTTTGACCACAGCATTACGCCTCCGTATTTTGCTGACTTCTTTATGACAGGTAGTATCTGAGAAGTCAACACGTTCGGCGGAACATACCCACTTCCTGCTGCTTCCGACGACGCCGGCAGGCCCAAGAACATCTTCACGGCGTTTACGGAAGCAACCCATTTGCTCCAAGAACTCGTGAGCTTGCTAATATCCCCCGAGCTGTATTGACATGGAGGGTTATTGTAAAACTGTACCCAGACGTAGTCGAAAAGACCGGTGTTAAGCGCAGCCCCCAAATGACTATCGGGATAAGGGCACTGAGGAGCTGCCGTTAAGTACACCTTTTTTCCTTGCTTGCTATAGTCTGATAAATAACGGGCAAGATCATCCCAATATTGAGTAGACCCAAGTTCGATATCGAAGTCGATACCGTCCAAGACTGCATCTCCTAGAGGACGAGCACTTGATGTGCCACCCAAGAAATTGTTCCACAGATAGTCTGCTACGTTCCTAGCATCGGCTTGAGATGCCAACGAGTAGCTCCCAACGCCGCCGCCAAGGGAGAGCATCACCTTGATGCCCTGGTTCTGGCAGCTCCGAATGCCGCTGCTTATGCTAGTGCAGCCACCCGAGGCGGGATCGCAGTGGCCTGCGAGGTTGATTTGCGGTGTCTGGCCACTGCCAAACTTATAGAGGAATGCAAGATTTACGTAGGCGTATCTGCCAGTGGCACATGTACTGGCGAGGGTACCTTCATTGCCGTTTTGGCCCCAGTAAATGGCGATCCCGCCTCCATGAGAGGCTCGGATGAGAGATGAGCTGAAGACAAGTAAGAGGAGGGAGAGGTAGGGTGTGGATGGAGGTGGGGTTGGCATTTCTGGGTGGTTTAGCAGTGTGAATTCGTGGGTTTGAACTTGGAATGCTGGTGTGTGGCGAGGCGAGGTTACTCTTTATAGAAGAAGCACCCCGTGACTTTAGATCTCTGACCAAGATAACATTATTGGGGGAAAAACAGACAAATTTGTCGTACGGATAAGAGAACGTCGTGATCGTGAATTCATGATACACTCGAATCTGAAAGGTTAGCCGGGTTAATTGAATGGTCGAAACTTTACACACGTGATTTCCAATTGGAATAATGCTCGGCATATACCTCTCGGATTAATTGCTCATCAGGTTTGTGTCATACTCATGACGTGATCCGAGAATTCAAGGGCCGTTTGATTCAATTTTACAAATGAGCCTCGGAAGAATGCAAATACCTTTAGGTTAAAGCGTTTTAGAGAAATGTAAATGGCGTTTGGTAAAAAATCTTTTGTGAAGCGCCCAAGTAGTTTTTGGCAAAGGGCTTTGGAAATTTTTTTTATTTTAAAAAAAAGGTTACCCTACCCTTTGTCGGAGCTGGTGAAGGGCTACGGCCGCCAACGAAGGGCTATGGCCGCCGGCGAGCAAGATCTGGCACCGGCGGCCATTGCCCGAGATCGGGCGACCACCAGCGAGTCATATCTGGCGCCGGCGACCATCGCTTGAGGTCAAGTGACCCCCGATGAGGGTCGCGTGACCCAAGCTGCCGTCGCCTGGGTCGTGTGACCTCAGGCGACGGTGGCCTGGGTCGTGTGACCTCAGGCGACGGTGGCCTGGGTCGCATGACCCCAGGCGACCTAGGCCTTGGTCGCGCCACCCCAGGTGACCTAGGCGACGGCGGCCTTGGTCGCGCCACCCCAGGCGATGGCGCCTGGGTAGTTGCACAACCTCAAGCGGCCGTCACCTGGGGTCGCCAAGGACGGCCGTCGCCTAGGCGAGCCAAGGATGCGCGATGCCGAGGATGCGCGACATGAGGTTGCACAACCGTGGTCGGCCAGATCTGGGTCGCTCGACCCACAGCAGCTTCGGTGAAGACAGCTTGAGGAAGAAGATGAACAGTGTTTTTTGAGGGCAAAAGTGGAACACATAATTATTAGTGAGGACAATATTGGAAAGAAAAAAAAATCATTAAATCACTGCTGTAGTATTCCGAGAATGCCGAAAGCCCAAAGCAGGTTCCTGCCAACTTTGGGCTTTTAGCATTCCCCTCATATTTTCTCCAATGGGCTTTAAAGGCTCAAAATCCCTTCCCAAAGTTGAACCAAACACCCCCTCAGTTTGATTTGACGCACCCAATCGAGTTCAAGCTATCAATCACAGCATCCCAAAAAATGTTATGGATTTTGCTTTGGTGATATGCTATCAAAGCCGCCCACAAGCTTGTGCATTGTTGTATGGTGTTGGTTTAGGTTGAAATGAACCCGAGCCGAAGAGGATTGGAGACACGATGATGTGATTGAAAATGACGTTTTAGGCATCGTGCTAAATTTTCATCACGTTAATGCGCACTCACCTTGTTTAACTACTTTTGCTATTGCCCATTCTGAGAAGATAAAACCGAATGGGGAAATCACAAGTGGAATGACCAAGGCGCGATTACAACGCAGAAGCACAAGCGAGAAACGCTATAGGATGAAAGGGCGGAGTTAATCTTAAACAATGCCATAAATAAGTGAATGTTTACTTAACTATTAGTTATATAACTCGAGGGAATTCTAGGCGCACCGAGAGTAAAACATTCCCGTCCATTCAAATCAGTCATTGATTATCGAATTCTACATGTAATGATTAGTTTGGATAATGGTTGTCATACTCTGGTAGTAGGTAAAATCCTATCAAATTATGCATAAATTTTTTTATGCAGTGAAAAGGACATGTTAAAGGTGCAAGAATCAGCTATCGCCGATCTTGGCATGGTCAGCCCATCAAAAGACCAACAGGACATCTAGTATGAATGGCATGTAGCCACCACCTGAGAAAATCTTAAGGGAGACAAGTGACATGATACTAACCTGATCAATAAACTTCGTGAAACTAAGTGAGCAAGTTAAGATTTTAACAAAACTCAGCAACAGAAATCGGAAAAACCTGAGCAAGCTGCAAGAACCGAAAGCACATGAAGAGTTAGCTGATGACTGCTAGATTACAAGTCACTGAAGCAACTTTTAGACTCAACCCATTACTCTTCCCTGATTTGTCTGATTTTCCTTTTTCCTTACAGAATCTCCATTCCCGATATTGCCGCAACTTGAGCCAATCATCCTTGTGACCACAATCTTGTCACCTGAGCTCCTTCCGAGTTGAAGTGATCTTGGTACAGTTTTGTGCACTAGCCTAAAAGGCATCATCTGCCTCGAATGGGATTAATTTATTAATAGAACAAGCGATCCAGGCCAGTTCCAATAGAACTGGCTGCAATTCGGAGGAGAAACTCAGGGCTCAAAACATTTCCATGAAGCCACAACTTGACTGATTACCAAGTTTACTTGATAAAAAAGGGAAATGAATCGACTCAAAACAAAGAGTGAACAAATTTCCATTCCAATTTTCGTACATGGATGTGAAGAGGGAAAAAGAAAAAAAGAAACAATAGATGCAGACAACAATCATAATAGCAATCTGAATCTATCATATCAAAGGTTATCTTACAAATTTATTACAGGTCTGAAGATAAATTTCAATATGATACATATGAGCCTATGACAACCTTTGTAACTGAATCACAAGAATGAGTTGGGGACTACTAATTGCTAAACCAATCAAGGAGCAAAATTAATCTGACAATCATCCATCCAACCAAAAGCATACAATCAATCACAAGAACAAACGCCTCGAAAATAGAAGAGTAAAGCACCTGCCTTCATAATATGGATGTCACCCGCACGGAATTATCAGCCGATCCAGTCAAGAAAATGGGCAAGGTTGGGTGCCAATCCACCGTTGTCACAGAAGCACTGTGCGGGAGAGTTCTCAAACCACTTGCCCGACTACGTGTCTAAACCAAATAAAAAAAATGAGATATGAGCTAACATCATTTCTAAGAAATATACATTGAAACCATTGATCAGAGCACAGTTAATGAGAAGTACAGAAAATACGCAGCTTAAAAGCCCTTATTCATCGCCTTCCTACAGCATTTCTCTGTGTGTGTGTGTGTGTGAGAGAGAGAGAGAGAGAGAGAGAGAGAGAGAGAGAGAGAGAGAGAGAGGTTACCTGGTATATGGGCGCTCTTACTGAACCAGAAGTTACTAACAATCTCCTTCCATTTGCATCTAGAGCCATTTCATGTCTTAAGTGACTGGAGCTGCAAGCATAACATGATCCACATAATTACGACCGAAATTTTATAAATGACACTCATGCGAGATTAATTGATGCAACAACTATAGGTGGCATCAGTTACCATGATGATCATATCTTAAGGATCGTCCCATTCAGTGAGGACAATTCCTCACTCTTATTGGAAATTGATTCAAGAATCCACCCACCCAATGCATAAATAAAATTGAGAAACCAATTTGACATTCCAAGTGACATCAAGAACCATGAAATCTCACGTATCAAAGTATATTATGGTTGTTAAGGTAAATATGTGATCCGCAACCGATACCTCTTTGAATTGATTGACCACAGAACATGACCCTGTTTCTGCAAGCTCCACTCAAGGACCTAAAATGGCAAGACCATCAACTTTTTGATATTTCATACCATGAATAAACATAAATAGATGTGGGATGCAATGAACTTAATGGATACTCAAGTTCAATGCATCCAAGATATGAATCCACAAATCATAACTAGAGAATGTACTTGCCTTTCCATCTGTACCCAAACTAAATATGCTTGTCTCATCAGCTCCAAAAAGAATGGAGCTTATACCACAATCATGTGCAGGCCACCCAGTAATTTGTAGACCGGCAGACATGTCTATGGCTAGTTAAGGCATTCCCTTCTAACATTTACCAGTCTACAGGCCACATATTGGAGAAACAGAAGATGATGACACTTCAAAACCAACAGAAATGAATTCATGGTAATTTCAAAGCAATATGTCTTCTTCAATGTATCCAAGCTACAACACATAACAAGGTCCACATAAGCTCATGAAAATTCAGAACTCCCCTTTTCTCCCCCTCGAAGATGATGGATATGGGGAGGGGGAGGGGGAGGGGAAGATGAGGCTGTCTGGCATGCAAAGACAAATCAATGTATCTTTGCCTCGAATTCCATTGTCATCACTGTTGTAGAAACTAAAAGGATACCAAACATGTGAATCATTCCATCCGTGGCAGAGGCAGCAAGAATCTTCCCATTGTGGTTAAAGCACAAAGAAGTAATTGCAGGGGGATCTTCACCAAGAGGAAGGACTGTCTTCAGGAAAACCAGGCAGTTGTCCAGTCACAAAGGACAATGGATAAATTAGCAACTTCAATCATAGGTTGTTCCAGGAACAAGAAAAACACATACCATTGCTTTCCATGTCTTCATGTTCCATACAGTTAGTGAAGCAAAAGCCGAGTCATCAATATGACCAGAAACATGCCTACAAAGGAAAAGATACCCATTATCAAGTGCATCTACAAAGAAAATAATCTCCATTGCAAATGCATCAACCTGAAATATAATAGATTTCTGAAAAGTTCCAAGAAAAAGTTTCATCCGGTAAAGACAGATATGCTATCCCCAGATGAACATGCGGGCACTGTCATACACTAGCTTAGGTTTTGTCATATCTTTAAGTTCTGCTAAGAGAAATACATGGACATTTGCATTAGGCAGCAAGGAGTATGGCTGACTTTTAGCATGCCAAGATAAAGGGCCTCATATGTCTCGGCACTCAACAAGATTACTTTCGTATCTTCTATTTAAACCAGTGACACTTCATCCAAAGGATAGTAAAGTCACCTATAGCCTCAAAGTTCACTCACAGAATAGCAACATCAATTGTAGTCAAATTAACGTACTGTATAACCTCATTTTCCCTTTAGTTGAAGAGTTTTATGCTAAAGCCACCAAAGGTTGCTAACCTACATATGACTAAAATCATTCGCAACAGAGAAGATCCATGAGATCTAGCATGTGTAGAACCATGTCAGCTATTTTAAGATCAGAATGGAAGCATTTTAAACCAAATAGACTTAAAAAAAGTTCCCAGAGAAAATGAAAACAACTAAATGGTGGAAAAACTGCACAAACTAATCCTCATATGGAGTGCAAAACTTGTATTAAATCCTTGGCCAACGAAGGAATCAATTTTAAAGACGCAACAAAAAGACACTCCCAAAGTACCAGAAGGGAAAAATTAATACCTGGATGCCGCAGCAGAAACAAAAATTGGTTCTACCGGGCTACATTTCAAATCCAAGACACTGCAGAACAACACAAATGTCAAGAAGCAAGAATGGAAGAAGTACAAAATCACAACTCATGTTTTAAAACCTTGGAAAAGCCTCTGTGGTATTGAGATCACAGACTACTCTTTTTGCGTCAACATTCCATGCCTTAATTCCTCCATCAGCAGTTCCTATGAGAAGCTTTAGTAAAAAAGAAATAAGGTCTTAATGAAAGGTATCTCTTAAAGAAACATTTGTTGGTGAGCCAAGCTATTGGACTAAGATGCATATCATACCAAGCGATCAGATTTACACTCCCAGTCAAGCGACATTATCTCTGCCCCACAGTAAATAGTTGCATTTCTTGATGCTGAAGTTGATGAGTCATAGGTCCATATTCTGAATAGAAATGCATGAAAGAGGTAAAAGAAGAACATCAGATACAACCAAATAGTTGAAGAAATAGAAGATAGTCTTGAACAAGAAGCTTGCTACTAGGACGTATGCCAATAAACCATTTTTTGCAGTACCTATTCTATCCAGGCATATATGGCCCAAGAGAAAAGCTTATTCATTTGAACAAAGAAGATCAATCCAAACTAGAAAATAAGTTTGAAACTGGCAATGGCCCAAAGAGAAAAGCTTATATAAGCCAAAATGACATTTTGAACCTGACTGTGCCATCCATGGATGCACTGGCAATATTGTTCCCAGAGGCAGAAAAGCGGCATCGAGTGATTGGACTTGTATGGCCCAAAAATGTTTCCTATAGTTCATGGAGTTGCAGAGTGAGAGCCACTACCAAAGAACACTTTAACCAATGAAAGGTGTAATGTGTTAGTCCAAAAGATGTCATTCAATCAGCTTGACAGAATTACCTGAAAGTCTACTTTCACCTCAGCGAATTCTTCTTCTCCCTCTACTTCTCTTCCAGTTTCTGATCAATGCATTAAGCAACTACTTACCATGTATAACTTTGTAATGCAACTATTCCAATCATTGCAGATATTATGGTGATAAATGGAATGAAGATATTTTCGTGACTTTAGGGGTCATCTATGCACGAAATGCAACACATCCTAATAGGCCAGAAGATCTTCCAGCCATATATGATCCCGCTATCTTTGTTTCACCTTACAGGATTGTGCACTTGTGCAAACTTGTCCAACACCACTAATCTGCACTTAGACAAACAGAGAAAATATACAGAATAGAAATTTACCAATGGTACCATCTTGGAGCATTAGACTGGAACCACCAGCTCCATTATCACTACATAAACTTAGAGAGGTTGTAACATGACCAGATGGTGCTGCTAGAGATTCTAAGTCGACTTTGGCTTTTGCAGCAGCAACCAAGTCCTGGGACAGCACTCTATTACCCGGATTGGGAGTAGCATGATTATAGGTGTCTTGATTATCTCGTGATGATACGATATTTTCATCAAGCACACCACTTGGCAGAGTTGAAGAACTACTACGAGCTATGCTAGCATCCATTGCTGATGCAGCATGACTGTTTGCAAGCACAATCACAGCGATAAAAATATTATCAGAAAATGGTGCAGGCAATAGACCCATAACTTTTGAGGTGAAAAAAAGAGAGAGTTTACCACAAAAAGACAGACAGAGACTTACCTCCTTGATCGGCATAATTGCGCTTCTTTTTCCTCCAATAGAGCTTGAAGTTGTGCTAACTTACTGTTTAGCTGCTTAATTTCTTTTTTGAGACGGCTGATGGTATTCTTCTCCAAACTGATGGTCAATAAGGCCGGAATGCGTGGTCTAGTTAAGGAAAAATCTTGCTAAACTGACAGTAAGTACTCATGCATTTTCCATTCGCAAGACGGGAATCAGAAAAATGAAAAAAGACAGTCGCCGCCTACCAACGGGCCAACCATCTATTCGACAATAATAATGGCAACACTCGAATTGAAAACGATTGGTTTTGTACAGAGAAAAGTCGGTATGCCAGGATATCAAGAGGATGGCTGCAATGCGGCTGGTGAAAGCCCCAGCTGTCTGAATTGCAGCAAGAGAAAGCTCCATAACTTCTACTTAATCATCAGGACCAACCATCTATCTACACTTCAAAAGTTGCTCCCACATAAGTCATCACATTCATGTGTAATGGCAGCAGATGGAACTAAAAGCTAAAGCCCAAGAGGCACTATTGAAAATAAGAAACAGCGATATGCATATGCACGCGATTCCAAGGATATGAGTGCCATTGAAGATCTCATCAAAGAAATTCCTCACAGCAACACGCAATGCCTCGTACCACTCCTTTGAAAAGTAGAGCCGAAACTGAGGATCCAAGCTCGGATTCTTCACGTACGGTATAGCTGAAAAGCAAGCTCGAAAAATGCAAAATTCACGACAGCAACGAACGAAATTCTTACAAAAAAAATAAAAATTAATTGTTTGACCTACCGAACCACGGAGTCCAATCCTGGTCCCTGCGGATCAGATCATTCCCGCTCGTCCCGAAGAACTCCAAAACCTTGTCCCTCCTCCCGGACCGCACGGCGTGAACGATGTAGTACCGCATGACGGAGACCTCCAGCTTAGACAGGGAAGCCAGGAGCACCGCCTCCGCCGAGGACGACGACAGGCACTGCCGGAAGAAGCCGAAGAGGCCCACCAGCTTCTCCGCCTGGAACTTGGGGACGTAGGCGGCGAAGATCAGGTCGCGTAGCTTGTCGACCTGGAACCCCCTGCCGACGTCGGTGGCGAGCTCGTTCTCGAAGGACTGGAGGGCGTTGGTGAAGCCCCGGAAGACGAGGAACTCCCGTACCAGCTCCTCTGCGTACTGCATGTTCTCCATCGGTCGGGGCCCTGCCGGAGAGGGGGATTGCGATCCGAAGGGGGCGAATGCCGGCGGGGGCGCGCGTGTTGACCCGGGGAGCGGATTGGGTTCGGGCTCGGGGAAGGGGGAAGAGCTATCGATGGAGCGATAGCGAGTGTTGCAACACGATTGGAGCGGAGGCGGAGGAGGGAACGAAGGAGGAGGAGGAGGAGGAGGAAGACGACGGAGATGCGCGGCCGTCGACGATCGCTCGCGCTCGCTCAGGCGGGGGCGGGGGGAGCGATAGGTGGGATCGGGGCCGGTATTGTTTCCCACCGGAGCCAATCTTCGGTTGGCTGGGAAACGGCGCCGTCTCCCTTTACCACCAAATGGTTCTTCATTGGCTACGGGATTACGGGGAGCATGAGATGGAAGAGATCAGTCGGTCCAAACGAAAAAAATGAATTATTTTTAAAAAAAAATTCCTAAAAGGAATTGCTTATCTCGGCGTAATTAGTGGAACTTAACCTAATTAGGTTGCTGAAATTGAAAGAGATGGCAAAAGAAATAGCATTGAAATCTATTTTTATTGACCAATTCGAATGTGGATCCAATCCAAGGACGTCCTAGAAAAAAACGGTAAGATGGAGCTATGTCCATTACTTGAATTTGCAAGGCTAGGTACTTGTAATTATGATCCGTTTGCCAGAACAATCAGAAAAAATGGTAGTTCGCTGGGCCTATCTTTTGATCCCCTGGTTCGAGTCTAGCTTAACCCCTTTCCGTGGATGTGAGTTTAAAGAGACTTTCAACGATCTCACCTATTCTAGGTTGTTTGAAATTGGAGTGAAAAGGGTAAGGTCTTTGAAAGATATAGGGAGAATATGTGAATCTTCTTTCTTTCCTAGTTACCTAAAAAATGCTAGGTTATTCCTTATCTCAACGTAAATCATCTCCGATCTAGCGGGTTATCACTCCTCGATTGAGTATAGAAACTTGATTCCAGGAATGAGTTAGCCTATAGTATAAGAATATTTTAAATAATATCCCCTCATTGAGTATGAAAATTGTAGTCTACCAAAGGAGGTAATCTGATTTGAATTGATTCACTTTCCAATACCTTATTGATTGAAGTAGGGATAAGACCTGTCCTCTATGATTGCTGCTTGCTTTCCTTGCTCTCCTGATGGTCGCTCTTCTCTTAGGCCTCTCTATAGCCTTCTCTCTATGAGCACTTTTCCTTAATAGGGAATGTAAATTGAGTTAAAACATCTTATTCTTATTAACAGACTCTAAGTCTAACCCGCGATTCGCTGACATTTAGGAATGTTTTTCCAATTAACATTCCCTTAGGGGAAACCAAACCTAACCTTTGCCGAATTAGCTCTAACTAGCCTTTTTAATCTCTCTCTAAAGGTAGTTCAGCGACCCGAGGGTAGGTGCTTTTTTTGCGAGTATGTTTGTCGATGGCGCTGTGTCCTATCTGCTCAAGGAAAGCCGTGCAACTCAATATGTTACGCATCAGCGGCATTTGATACATAATCCGCATCTGTTGTCGGAATTTCTACTATAAGGAAGGAATAAAAGTCTGCTTGTCGGACTAGGCTTTCTTCGCATAGGCTACACAAGCTTAAATAACTTGCCACCACAAGTTGTTTCATTATGTAAATACCGAAAATAACTTGTCGTGGGAGCAGCCAAAAAAGAAGAGAAGTATGAGTTCATTGACCGCATAAGGGCGATCCATCTTGATGAAGAATTCCTTGATAACAAGAAATAGAAATTAATACTTCGATGTCTACTTGTTCTCCCCTCTTCAATTCCCAATGAACAACATGAATAAATAAAGTAAAAGAAGGAAGCAATTCGTCTATATCTTGAACACATGCATGTCGGAGTTATATAATCCAAATAAAAGATAGTTGGACGATTCTCCGAAGATGGTGGAAAATCGACCGCTTCGCATAGACTTTTCGTCCCCTTTTCGATGCCTACCTAAGGACCAATGTGAATGTTTTGGAATGGGGATGTTTGCCTTTTGTAACAAGTAGACCCACGATACGGACTAATAGATGTTCCTACTCTTAGCCCTAAGTAAGATCTATTCATAGTTGATCAGTTCCCCACGGCACGGCTTCCCTAAGATTTAAGATTAGGCCGAGGAATGTTGAATTGACTCAAAAGAAAGCGTGGATCGAGTTGATTGGGACGGTTAGCTTTCAACTAAATTCTGTTGCAGCGACAGTAGCAGTTGCAGAGATAACAAAAAATGTATGGCATATCCCTTCCGCGAACCCACCTTTGAAGTGAAATTCCCAGTGATTTTTGGTCATATTCCATCGGTGGAGAATTAGGTTCCTATGCCACTCGTCGCTTTATCTTTCCCTCATCCTATTCTTTCATGTCTGCTTAAGCTTCCCCGGATTGGGGGCCCAACAATCTTTTATATATTTTTCCAGTAGTAATTTTAGGTACTATTGTAGGCTTAGCGGTTCTAGAACCATCAATCAAAATCCAGGCCCTATCAAACCAAACCAGCCTGGATTGATCTTGGCCAGAGCGAATGCGGAGGAGAAAAAACGCAGGTAGGCACAAGTACTAGACTTCTATGAATCTTGATAGCATGTCTCTTACCCTTGCACTCTGTATTTTCCGTTGCTTATCTTGCTAGTTCACGTTGGGCGTAAAGAAACATAATTTCTATTGGAGTCGGTCCTATGAATAGATTTGACATTTTTTTTAAAAAACCAATTCACTCACCCACCGCGCACGTTTGGAATATTTTCAATTGATGAGAAAATATTCAGTGATTTGTTAGTGTCACGTCACTTGCTGACACGTTATATATACGTGGAATTAGATAAATAAAAATTAAAAATCCCTATCCACCTCTGTTTTCCTCCTTCCTCCCTCTGTGACTGCAGCCACTATGAGCTCACCCAAGTAGACTGGCACCTCCCTCCGCCATCGCTACCGGCAGAGTCACCGTGGACTTCGCCTTCAAGGTCGGCGGCCATGGACAAGCTCCAAACCTAGAAGTTTGTAGTCTTCGTGTTCGCCTCCGTCAAGAGTCTTCGCTAGATCTGGAAGTTCTCCATCGTCCTTGCTCATCCATGGTCGATGACTCCAAATCTAACTCCAACTCGGTCATGCTCCAAAACTGTCGCGGTCAAGGCTCCAGATTTGGATGCGACCATGGCTCCAAGGTCTGTCGCTGCCATAACTCCGCGGTTCCTGATCTGCATGCAGCCATGGCTCCAAGACGATTCCAGGTCTGTCGCGGCCGCGCTGCGCGGAGGGGAACTCGAACGGAGGACGATGGCTGGGGACACCGAGGAGAGAGAGACTCCATGACCGTTCGAGGCAGAGGAAGAACTCGCTGCGGCAGCCATGGTGGGGAAGTGGGTGTCGAAGACGGAAGTTACCGCGCCTTAAGCGATGGATGGAGACGACGGACATGGACGAGTTGGGCGATGGATTCTCAAGTGACCGGAGAGATGGGTGGCCGCGATGGAGACGAAGAGAGAGAAAATCTGCTTTTTTAATTTTTCGAAACTGAAACACGTGTCAATTTTTAATTGCACCAACTCACGTTAACGCACGCCACGTCAGCCGATGACGTGGCACTCGCAAGACACCGAATATTTTCTCCCGATTGATGGACCTTGGTGGGCTGAGTCGTGTACCGCCTTGAAAAATCATAGCCAAGGCCCGCACATAAGTTCAGGAGTACTATATTTTTTTTAGTAAAAGAGAATTGGGCCTGCAGGCCCAATTAGGCCTCTATGGGCAGGCTTGAGCCCAAATATAAAATTATCTATGGGTTGGCCGCTGGGCCCATTATCAGGTAACGGCAAGAGTGGCCCAACTCCCATTTAAGCAGACGTTCACGTGCCGCTAGGCGCTCGGTATCGATGGTACGGACACACGTTGCTCAGAGACCGATCTTGGTGCTCAAGTACTAACAAATATGCCGATCGATCGACTTGCGTAACAAACAAACACGACCACAGACGTGACGCGAAAAGGCAATCAGAATGTAATGATGAAGTGATTTTACCGGCACTATCGTTGGAACGGAATGGGTTACTTGTAGCTTAAACAATCTTGCTGCTAAGAGCCATCATGCACTGTGGGCTGTGCTCTCTTCAGCATGAAACAGCAACAGAAATTTGCACAGATAAATCATATTAGCTGAGCTTTCACTTCAGTTCGATGGGACGGGAAAAAGCAACAATGTTCGGTTAAACGAAAGGGGGCGGTACATATGCATGTCTAAGTGCACTGGCGTCGGAATTTCACCTAGTTTTGTTCAGCAGTACGCATATTGCAAAGACCCAGTGGAGTCCGATGATTCTTACAGATCAGACAGTTTGTGTATCGGGCATCGGCTGCAGTTCCTAGAGCAAAAGTTTTTGCGCTCTTGTTTGTAGGCCCTGGACTGGACTGGAGGGTGTTCAAGACCAGAGATCATTGTGTTAGCTGTGGTCCTCAGCCAGATGTTGGCTCATCCTGCAGATACTGCTGTTTGGATGGGATATCTATGGAGGCCCTGCACGGAGATTATGATGCTAAACTTAAGGCAAATGACATCCTGTCTGCTTCCGTTTGCTTTTCCTTTACAGAAACGAAAGGGAAACAATTCGCTCTCTTGTTCAGTGATACTTGTGTCGTGATTCTTTTGTTTCCTCTTTCTCAAGCTGACCAAAACATTGCGATGAACCAAGATAATTTCATGTATCAGTGTGCTATGGTTTCAAGTTTTACCGTATTGGCGACAGCCCATATTATGTCAATTTGATCTCTCTCACTCTCTATGAAATTTGTCGCTAATTGCGGTTCCGTTATCTGTGTTCGTGCAGATTAGCTTCGTTGATTCACCGCCACCGGATCAAGATGACGCCAATTATCAAGCATACCGGAGAATCATTTCACTTGAGAATTGCTCTCATGAGTGTCTGAATTTTCTGGCAGTGGCCTATTGTCTTCTTAAGGGGACAAGTGCAGGGACCACTTGACTTCATATCCCTTTCGCCGCCCAGCTTTTGTCCCCGAAAACCTTAGTTTATGTCAACTCGTTTTGCTAACAACTGTGGGCTACCCCTTGTCTGCCCTCTCTCTCTTCTCTCTCTCCATAGGCTCCGCTTACATAACGTACGCATATTGGACATGTATAGAAGCGTACATGTGTGAATTTTGCCTGCTTCTGCAGATTTGTTTCCGAGCTGGATAAGTTAAATTGCGCGAAAATGACCTAACCATCTAGCATTTAAAGCCCGACCCAGACGCAAATGCACCACCAGTCAGGCCGTTCGTGGACGCCAAGGTTTGGAATTTCCTTGCCACGAGAACTCTGACATTTCATTTCTCCCCCACTTTTTTTTTTTATCTATCTGAGATATGCCCTGGATTGCTGCTTCAAGGATAAAACCAAGCTGCTTTGGTGATGAGTAAGTACCTTTTGCTCTGCCTACATTCAATTTCAACAAATGAAGCTAATGAGAATATAGAGTGCTCAGCTCGTTAGTTTCAATAGACTAATTGACGATTTATGCACACCTATCTGTTACACCAAGCAGGAGATACTTACACTGTCATTTTTTGAAGTGCAACTAGAGGATATAATCCGTTCTTCTAACCAGAGAAATTGTTAAATTTACGTTTGATTTCTAGGATGATGTTGCTGAGTTAGGCTATGTTATATCGTTTATTATTGAGCCGAGTCTTATCTATCCAAAGAAGTGACCGGCCCCATGATTATATGTTCTATCAACACGACGACCTAAAAAGGCCAAAATGTTTGCATCCAGTGCCATTCATCTGGTAATTGCACTTTTGAATCCGTGATGAAACTGTAGCATTTTGTCATGTCATTTTCAAAACACTTTGTTTGCACTTTTCTTAAGTTAAATCTGTAAATAAAAAGAAGACCCCCGTATCCTCTTCTTTTCTCCTTTTTCATCCTTTTTTCTTTATGTCAAGAAACTGTCTCTGCATTAAAGAAAGTTGTGATTAAGGATTGTAATTCTGAGATATCTAGTCCAGGGTTGAGAATGCTCTTGCTATGTTGATCCTCTTACATGCCAGATATTTCTGTCAAATGGTACTCCATATATCTGGAGGTTAAAATAGATGTTTATAGTGAGAAACCTTTGCTTAAAATATGCAGATAAAAAACATGATCCAATGGCCTTGTGTATACAAGGCTACAAGCCTTCCTTCTTGACGTGCTCATATGCTCATCAGTTATTGGTTTCCCTTCTAAACACCAGTCTGATGTCCAAACTGGAGAATTAACTTTTGGGTATTGAAAGATAAAACTAGAGCCTAAGTCCCCGTGTTGCTTCTTATACTATGATTTTGTCAACGGAAGTCATAGTTTGGTAGCGTTAATCACACCCCCGGCAATAAGAAAATCGGGATTAGGTTGATCCTTCCTTCTGCAGTAGTTGGATTGTAAGCATCAGAAGGCTGAGTTTATCTTACCCACCAGGAAAAAAGCAAATTCATTTGCGAGATGACATCATACTAAAAGCAAGCAAGGCTAAAAAACACATTCTTCCATCATTCCACACTTTGGTTATGGGGAGGCAGATTGGATTGTCATTGGACTGTGCATGAATTTGCTTTGCTCATGCTTCCTAGGATCACGCATGTTCTCTGGGGGGCCTTTCCTTGTATAGAATAACAAATTAGCATCTAATAAGCTTCACAAGGCACAAGGGTCTTAATAAAATGAGCAATAATAAGCAAAAGGAAAAAAAAAAGGGCATCTTCTCTGTGAAGCTTTAAAGATCAATGATTATGGAAAAAAAAGTTGACAAAAATACTGGCGATGCTAGGACATTATGGGTGATCATGGGGCTCACATTTTCTGTTTCGTCTCTCTCTCTCCCCCCCTTATCAATTATTAAAATTCTTTGTCTGTTGCCAGACAAGTAGACAACCACACACTCCCTTGTTATAGAGAAGGAAGAAAGAGAAGATATATATCTGTCGAGGTATATATATATATATGTGCTCTAAGGATTGAAGATCTCGTGCCTTCTCTTATTCTCCCTTTCTCATTGCAATACACACAACTTATTCTCTCTTCCATCAAATTCCTACAGATCTTCCTGAACAGTAAACATTGTCTGCTGATGGAATCCTCTGAGCCTCTCTCGGTGGAGAGCTTCTCATACCGTTGGCTAGTGAATTTGAAGCCAGCCCATGAGAGCTTCGATGGGTCATCAGTCAGGACTTCACTTGACGCATCGGACGAAGCCTCCTTCATTGAGATGGATCCCAGGATGCCACCTTCCAGGAGATTCTCCCGGAATAGAGGCAATTCTGCTTCTCAGGATTTCAAATTTGACTTCCCGGGAGTGTCGCCATCTTCTCCGGCTCTTGTTCATGCGGATGAGCTCTTCTGTGATGGCTACGTCTTGCCCCTATTTCTTGACCCTTCAAAGATGAAGGCATACGAGACGTCCAATTCGACTCCTTCTCGGCCTGGCTCGCTGAAACTCATGAGTAGTAAATCGTGTTCACCTCCCTCCTCGAAGACTAGGTGCGGGAAATTATCAAAGAGGATGTTTGGGAAGTACATGGACTTTCTGAGGCCGTTGTACAGGATTTTCCGAGCCGGAAGGTCGAGTTTCCGGGCGGAATATGGAGATGCAAGAGGTCCTGGAATGAGGAACTGGGTTTATCCTGAAGAGGCTTCTTCTCCTACAATAAGCGAAGCGTACTCCGCCAACGATTGTCGCAGGTCATTCGATTCGGAGAGCTCGATTTACGAGGCAGTTCTCCATTGCAAAAGATCTTTCGGTGGGTAGATGTCTTTCCCATTTCCTCATGTTTTCGCGAATTTACCCACATAGTACTTGTGTCCTAAATGATATTTTAGGCACTGATACATTTTCCAACGTGCCGGTTTCAGGAAAATTCGATTGAATTGGGCTACAATAAATTGTTCCGCAGATACGAAGACGAGACAGTGACTCCGGAGGACAAAAAAAAGCGTGAAAGAAGAGAAGATGAGTCACGAGAACAAGAGCAAGCCCAGATACAAAAAAAACGTAAAGACAAATATAAGAAAGAGAGGTGTCAAAGATCATATCAATGGAGCAACCTTTTCTTCTTGTCACATTTGTCTCTGCTTTTCCATATGTGATGATCATGTACAGAAATTGTCTGGTCGGCCATGGATATATCTCTCCCACACTGTGAGGAAAGAAATGGAATCTGTGTATATCTTTTTACTTTCTTTGTCATTCTGAGATTGGGACAGAATGTTTTTGCAACTGGTAAAAAATCTCTCCTTTTTCTCTGATCCTGTCAATTAGACCCGCTTGACAGAACAAAAAGCAGTCACATTTGTTCATTCTGATTTTGATTCTAGTCAGTGAACAGAATAATCTCAAGGGCCTGTGCATGCTTTTGGAGAACAAACATGACCTACACCCATGTGGCTTGATTTGCAGGGTGAAAAAGAGAGAGAAAGAAAAAGTTCCAGATATGAACTTGATTCCAGCAAAAACTGGGGTTTTATCAATGAATTAATTTCAGATGTCGCTATATCAATAGAAGAGCTTCAGATGTGCTTCTATCTAAAGTCTCGGAATATTGCGATCAAACCACGAGATCATTCAAGCAAAAGATTCGAAAGTATATTACATCGCATTGCCGTAGGATATCAGAAAGATCTATATCCTTGCTGGGTTTTTATCAATGAATTAATTTCAGATGTCCGTGTAGCAATGGAAGAGCTTCAGATGTGCTTCTATCTGAAGTCTCGGAATATCGCGATCGAACCACGAGATCATTCACGCAAAAGATTTGAAAGTATATCACATCACTTTGCCGTAGCATGTCGGAAAGATCTATATCCTTGCTAAGACAGGGCGACAGACGGAACCGCATAAAAAGACCGAGTCTATCTTTACACGCGCGAGGTGATTATCTCAAAGAAAGCATACTTGGCAAGCATGCACAAATTGCTGTGATTGACCATTTGTCTGCTTGAATAAAGGGTAACGTGGAAGGAGAAAAATAAGGCAATTACAGGTTGTGATCCGAGTGATTCATGGCATGGCCTGCAACTGGCAGATGGCGTGTGAGATGGGCATTGAATTGAGGAAGAAGGAGAAGAAGAACGTAACGTCTCAAAAGTGAGGGAATAGTTTGTCAACCTCGGTTGAACTAATTCCGTGATTAGTCTCGGTATACACCAACGGTGATTCGAGACTTGTGAATTGGCTGCTGACTCCGAGACTGAGTCAACTCTTAGTCAAATCACGTGCCATTAGTAGAAATTATATGCTCTCGAAACTAATTGAGATTGATCTTTATATTACGGCATTTCCGATGTAATTGTTATTCGGTTGATTTTTTTTTTCTCACGAAAAGCATCAGAAAATCTTAAATCTATTGTATTAGTGTCAACTTAGTCCTAAACTTTTTAATGGTGGCAATTTAATCATAAATCTATTGACCTAGAGGCAATTCAGTCCTTCTAGCTAATTTTGATCAGATATTGCTGATGTGGATGTGAACGTTGGCCGGCCTACATGGCACGGTCAGCGCTGACGTGGACAATTTTAAATAATATTTTAATAAATTTTGAATTTATTATTTCTTTTCTTTTTTCCTTTCTTCCTCCAGCCGGTTCCGGACCTCAGCGACCGGCCAGAGGCAAGGGCCGGCAAGGCTGACCTCACGGCTTCTGGTGTAGGTGAGGCACGACCTGGCCGAATCTAGTGAGGTAGAGCCTCACCCAGCCATGGCGAGGGCGAGCCTCACCAGTGGTCGACCTCGCCGGCCCTTACCTCTGGCTGGTCGTTGAGGTCTGGTGACCGGTTGGAGGAAGAAGGAAGGGAAGGAAAAAAAAGAAAGAGAAAAAAAGGAAAAAGAAAAGAAATAATAAATTCAAAAAATATTAAATTATTATTAAAAGTTATTCACATCAACGCCAGCCGTGCCACGTAAGCCAGCCCACATAAGCAATGTCCTACTAAAATTAGCCGGAATGACTGAATTGGCTCTAGGTCAAAAGATTTATGACTAAATTGACACCATTAAAAGGTTTAGAACTAAATTGGCACTAATGCACTAGGTTTAAGACTTTTCTGACACTTTTCCCTTTTTTTTTCTCTAAGGTGCATTTGTTTCAGCGAAAAATTTATGATAAAGGAAAATATTTTCTGTGAAAATCCTTAAATAATTTTCATTTATTTGGTGGTTTAAGGAAAGTGATTTCCTTGTTACCAGAATGGGAATTTGTTTTCACCATATCTAAACTAGTTGTTTTCAGTCCATGGAAAACGTTTTCTGCACATCAATTAGTTTTCCGTCATCAAAACATTAGAAAGTTGGAAAACAATTTTTCGAAAATAATTGTCCTTCAAACAAGACCCTACATGTGATTATAAACTATTTCATAAAAAATAGACTGGCAACGTATTATGAAAGTTCAATAAAGAACGATGTACATTTTTTTAGATGGTGCTATCAGAACTTTCCGCGTGACTAATCCTCATGCATAAATGCAAATCGCATCGTTCACAAGAATCGGGTAAGGCTCCGTCTGTAGGGTAGAGGCGGGACATGACCCCCAAGGTTCCTCTCAGCGAGAGAGTTGTGATTCGAACAAGACGTGTGTACCCTATCCAAACTAAACACTAAATTACTATGTCCATTGGTTTGTGGCTGAAGATGATGTGCTTTCTTTAGTCAAAAGTCTCGACCAAAGTTCCCCTTAGAACATGGCCCTAGTTCAGCTCACCCTCAGACCAAAACCTCAAGCCAATGAAAGGGTAAAGAAAAAAGTGAACCGAGTGTTTCAGGTCACATGTCAACAGGGAGGGGACATGGACACAAGATGTGCTAGGACAAAGTGCCAAACTATTGATGGCTCCCCTCTCTCTCTCTCTCGTCTTGCCTGTTGGATCTTTCCCGTGCTTCTCCGCAAAAGAAGAAGAACCAAGCTCAGACTCTTTTGTTCTCTTCTTGTTGGTTTTTATCAATCCCTTTGCAATTGTAATCTCCTCCTTGTGGGGACCGGAAGCTCTTCTTACATGCTGCTTGTCGCGGCCATCAATTCTTTGGCTCACTGTTGGATAATGACATTAGCCTGGGCAAAGTCATGCACAAATATTCGCTTTCTCACTCTAACCATTGGGTTAGTGTTTCTTTCTTTCTTTCTTTCTTGCTTTTGTTTGTCCCTCCATTCACAGAAACTGTTGCATAGAGTTTTGGGACAAGATAACGTCCTCACAACATTCCACGACAAACGGATTTAATGCGGGAATCCACGGACGAAGGCTTAGGGGCCCGGAGAGAGAAGGACTAAAAATAGCAGCGATTGCGAGGTAATTGTTTGATCATTGATTTTGGGAATCTTAGTGGGCCGGGGCTACTTGTGAATGTTACGGTCTCGTTGAAGTACCCGTAAATGGTCCCACGGACGAGGCCGTTTTAGACGTTGACATTTGTCTGATAAATTTTGCGTTGCGCACGTCCCTTGTTCCCGGTAGCTGTGTGTTCACAAAAGAGCCACTGACGGAAGATGTGGTCTTTGCTCAGTGAGCGATAATGTACCCTCGGCCTTATCCGGCTATTGTCGATCCAACAGTAACTAGGTAGTCACTAACTTACTATTGTTTATCTATCTTTCGGGCGGTCAATGGCACTAGGTCCCAAGAAATTGCTTAGACCATATCAAACTTGGTCTCAGCTGATCAAATAGCTTCAGAAACTATGACCCCTATGAAGATCAGGGGCAAAAGTAATTACGCTTCTATTTTACTCATTACTGGGTGTAATAATATCTTATTCAGCGATTTCAAGCCAATGCAGGCATCGAGAGGAATAGTTATACAAAGTAGATCTTCAGTGATCAACCTGTGGACAATGTGTGCAGGAAACAGAAAAGGAACTATCAAGTGATGCCAAGTTATCTGCATCTGAACTTGTTAGGACCCAACCAATTGCCAAGATAGTTACATATGTTTCAAAAGTTTAATTATTGAGTTCTTCAAAACATATGGACAAAAAGAAACGAAACAAACAATAGAGGAACTGTCGCAACATGAGGTGCCGTGTGTCGGCTGAGTCCAGCCGGATGTCGTCTTAAGATGGTTTAGGACACCGAACAGAGCCTTAGGGGGCGTTTGGCAACTTGCCAAATAGTAAAAATTTATGTTATTTTGTTCCCAGAATCAGTTTGGGAGCAGAAATCCATTTGTTAAAATTTTTGTGCCCGGGCACAAATTTGCAAAAAATTGTTCCGAAAATCAGTTTTGGAACAGAATCAAGAAGCAAAACAAGTAGTTTTTTTTATTCTGGAACAATTTTTCCATTTCTGATTCTTCTTGGTTTTCTTTTGTATTTGTTCTTCATCTTCTTCCTGGCCCACCACCGGCGACAGGCCACCGGCGATCGGCCAGGGCCAGCGAAGGCGGCCCTCGCCGCCCCCGGCGACGGCGAGGCCAACCTTGCCGTCGCGAGGGGTGGCGACGGCCAGGTCGGCCTTGCCTTGGCCAGGCAAGGCTCAACCTCGCCAGATCTGGGCAAGGTCGAGCCTCGCCCGGTCATGGCGAGGCCGACCTCGTCGTCGCAAGGGGTGGCGACGGCAGGTTGGCCTCGCCTTGGCCGGGCGAGGCTCGATGTCACGCCCCGAACCCCATCGAGCTCGTGGCATCCCTCTTTGGTCGAATTAGTGCGATGTCCCAGGAAACGCCGCCGACCCAAATCAACTCATCAGAGATATAAAGCACCAGCGAAAGCCATAAACACCCAGACATTATTGACTGGGGGTAAAATGGAGAATATACCTCAATTACCGATTCAAACTTATACAATATCCACCATTTACAATCCACAGAATATACATGCACACCGAGCTACTATACTTTACACCACCGATATCAAAAAGTATCAGTAGCCTGGGTATACCCTAACTCCAAAAGGGGACACTCCAAAAAGGTTTACTCAACCCCTAAACTAGCCCCTACGCCAGCTAGACGGTGTCCACTCCAACTCAGTCTCCTCGGAATCCAGATCTGAAACCCCCTGATCATCCGGCTCCTCGGAAGACTCCGAATCCGCCTCGATCTCAATCGGGTTGTCCTCATCACCCGACTCTACCGGAACCTCAATCCGCTCCTCCTCATCAGACTCCTCTTCTGGCTCCTCCTCTGGCTCGTTCTCTGGCTCATCCTCTGGTTCGTCCTCTGGTTCCACCTCTGGGTCTTCTTCCGGCGCCTCTTCAGGCTCTTCTTCGGGGTCTTCTTCTTCTGGTTCTTCTTCTTATTTAGGTTCCTCCTCT